TCCCCTTCTGTAAGTGAGGAGAGCCACATACTTCACAGGGAAGCCCGGATTAACATTTATTTAAAAAAGCTTTGAAGATGAAGTATTATGGCATTAGTATTTTTAGACTGACATTTGTAACCTTAAAATCCAGTGGGGAGGGTGGGACTTTGAATTTTAGGAGAAAGAAGTAAATTAGTGTACTGATAGGGGTTGTTTTTAAAATTAAGACTGTACCGTATAATTTGGTTCTATAACAAACTAATACACTGTTAGTTGGAAACAGCTTTCATGAACAATTGCCATGTATCTTTATCATTATATACCTGTAATGTTATCTTTAATTTTTAAGAGTAATCATGAGAATGAAGTTCCAGCATGTAGTAAGAATAGTGACATTCCTACAGTGCTTAAATCACCCCAAAAAAGCTAGGTAAGTGACATATGAGTTTTTAGCATAAATTAAAGGACTATAACACTTCTGGCTTTTTAGGGTAGATTTACAACGCCCAAATTTGGGAACCAACAGTGACAATGGCATTATGTGCACATAATGCCATTTGAGTCAAAAATGCAATTACATACGGTGACTTCTTACAACTGGTGGTTTTCTACAACAACAAAAAAAGCCACTTCCAAGTATATTACATTAAAATTGTATACCATACTCCGCAGTGTTTAGAGCTAACCCCATTTGGGAGCGTTCAATTTAACAAATGTCTTGTCCTAGTACACAGAAGAGGCAACACGAATTGCAGTAGCAAGCATATCATGCATTTTGATTTTTAGATGCACCACTTTGTTCAGTTATAAGATAGGTACCATCAGATAAAAGAATATGAATGTTTTTTCAGAAAGTGATTATAACTGCAAATAAAACCAGGTTACTTGTTAATAACTGTAATTCTTTTAATGTATTCTTTCTACAGAGCTTTAGTTGTGGGATCTCAACTTACTGATCACATCGTATAAATCTTGAAAGCAATTATTTGGGGGGGGGGGAGGGGGCACTGCTTTCTCACCCTCAAATTCAGGTTGTAGGAAACTAAATCAAAGTGCCTAAGGGAATATTTATAAATGTTTTCATATTTAGTTGGTTTTCCTTTTTAAAAGGAAGGTCCTGATCATGCCTTTGAATTCATGCAAAGATGCATGCATTGCATAGGTCTCCCTGCAAAAAAGGGGCCTTGGACTGGAAATCATACCACTATTCAATAAGCAGCGGCCCAGTAAATCTGAAATGCAGTTTTTGCTCATTCCCCTTCCGCTCCTTCCCTACCATTATATTTATATGTATTCATATATTTTCTAAAATCACCATCTTCACTTTTCTCATTTTAAAATTCAGGTAATAAATGAAAATATATTTTACAGAATTTTAAAGAGTCAATCAGGGCAATTTAAAAGGTTCTCTCTTAAAAATTGTAAATTCTCTGATAAAAAAACCCAAATTCTCTGATTAAAAACACTAAAATCCACATTTTTCTAAATACCTATATACTTAGGCATTTAATTTTGTTGTTTTTTTTTTTATCATGGAAAATCAGAGCTCCCACTGCCACCTTTGCTCATCAGGACACAGGTCCAGCTGTGAGACTATCCCCTGCCACCTTTTGGCACTGAGCAGCCCTGTTATGCTGGTACCCCCTCATTCTCAAGCTACACAGCTCTAGCAGTGTGACTCTCACTCCTCTGTCCTGCCACCACCAGCCCTGCAGGCAGAGCCAGCCTTAGGGACAGACCGAGGGCAACTGCCCATGGCACTGAGGTGGCAGAGAGGCACCCCAGGACAGGTCCCTGCCTTAGCTCAGGCAGGAGCAGGGACAGAGGAGGAGGAGGTAGCAAACCAGAGGTGCCCCTCATTCCCGACCCAGAGCCCCCTTCTCCCTCAGCCCTATCAGAGGGGGCCCCCAGGCCCCAGTCTCCCACTATGTGGGGCAGGGGGTGGGTGTGTGGGGCTTTTTGGAGCTTACCCCCTGCCCCAATGATGCAGGTGTGGTCCAGACTCACCAGAGCTTAGCCCCACGTGATCAGGCCCATGCACCAAACTCTGGCATGCCCAAACTGCTCTTGTGCCATCATGCCTCCCCCCTCCAAATGGTATGGGGTTGGTCCAGGCTATCATGGGGCAAGCTTTGGTGAGTCCAAACCAGCCCTGCACCACTGGGGGGGCCCTGATGGCACAGAGGCAGTCTGGGTATGCCCCCTGGTGATATGTTGAGAGGGAATGGCGGGGACGTGCCCTCCTCAACTGCTGTGGGGTTGCAGCCTGGCTGGACCAACAGACTCAGTGTTGGTGCTGTCATCACTGCTGGGAGCCTTCAGCCACCACCGCTGGGACCTGCCACCGCCAACTCAGCTGGGCAGCGCACCCAGCCCCAGCCCCGCCCGAGGATGTACGGCCTAGTGTGCACACAGCTGTTCTTGCTTCCAGGGTATGGACTCCATGGAAATGGGCGGTGATTCTGGTACTCCTTCAAACTTGGCACTCAGGGCAGGTGCCACTCTCACACAGACCTAGTTATGCTACAGAGCTAGGTAGTCACAGAACAATTTTTTCAAGTGCCCCCAATGCTTGCGATAAAGCCTGAAAATGCTGAGCAACTACAAATCTGGTTCCTGCACCGAGGTGCTGCTGCTGGGAGCCACTGCCTCTCAGGCTGGGCAATGCCCCCAGCCCCAGCCTGAGCCATGGTGGGATGAGGCAGCCTGCACCTGCCCCAGCCCCAGCCTGTGGTGCAGGACAGGGCCATCACCAGGTGGTACAGCAGCAGCACCCTGCATGCTTTGGCATCCCTGGAGCTGCAGCACTGCAGCCACCACCACTGCCTACTCCTCCATGCAGATAAGAGAATCTGCCTGCCCATCCCTACCCTGGGTGAGGCATGGTGGGGCTACTGCCTGGGCTCCCATGCAACATCCTGAGAACACCCACAGACACCTCTACATTCCTCCAGACCCCACCACACAACCCTGCCCTGCCCCCCCAGTCCTGCTGGCTCTCCTTGCAAGCTCCCGCCAGCCCTGGCAGTGTCACCCACAACCCCCTGCTCTGCTGGCTCTCTCCCCAGGCCACACCCTCCCCTCTGCCACAGGCAGTGTGACCCTCACCCAACCAGCAGGGCCCCCCCAAACCCTGCCAGTGCCCTTCATTCTCGACTCCTTGCCCCGCCCCACCCCAAGCCCTGCTGGACAGGGTCTCCAGTTGCCTTCCCTGCAGGCCCCAAAGGCCATATTTACCACAAAGGCCACAGGAGCGATAGGGAATCTGAGCCAGCTCTAGCTGACTCAGATTCTCAGGCCCTGCTCCCCCCTCTCCCCCTCCGGATAGGGATTAGGGTTTCCTGTCCTTTTGCAAGCTGCTCCTGCAGGCTGGAGCTCTGCTAGCCTACAGAGTGCTACCTGCAAAAAGGGAAGCCCACGGTTTCCTGCCTCAAAAGGGAAAATCCATGTTTTTCCATGGGAAACTGAAAACCCAGATTCCTGGGGTTACTAAACAAAACAAGCTATGCTCGCAAGGTCACTAATGTCTATGTCTATGAAATCTGATAGTTAGAACACAGAATGTATTTTGAAGTAATGGCAGACATTGAAAAATAAAATTCCTCTTAAAACCTTGGCAGAAGGACTACAACTAGAAGGTATTATTTTGTTTTACTACTATTAATAAGCTGTTTTTTGTTCTGTATTAGACAAAACGCCTTCAAAACACTGAAAAGATAAATACAAAAGATTTCTCCCCACCTCACTGATTTTTAATAACTGTTTTGGAAAGAGCTATCATGTTTTGGTGCTGCTGATGTACAGCTGTGTAATTTGTTCGTGGAAGTTTACACACAGACCATTTGCTCTGGCTTCAGGGATTATAAGGTAGACAGTTTCCAATGGAAAGCTTCCATGTAGCATGTGAAGTTTCTAGTTTCCCAACTATATGCATCTATTTATCATGAAACTAGAATAACTTTTAAGTGAGTATTCATTAAAACCTGTAATGCTTGTCTAGTCATCACAACAATCATTTTTAAAGAAAAGGAGGATAATGTGTTAGTGCCTGCTAAATGTCTGAAGCAGTATTTTAGGTCATACCAATTGCACTGAAATATGTTGAACTAAAAGTTTTGGGCAGGAAGAGTGGAAACAGCTTTTTCCTCTAAAAAACTACAAGGAACTTTCCTTCTTAAAATAGACAAAACTAGCATACATGCTTTGCCTAATTCTTGACTTAATCACACATTGTAAAATCACTTATTTTCATTTTCCATTCATGCCAAAGATAAAGTAGTATGTGTGGTGGCTGCACTTGGAAGAGACAATTGGATGGAAAATGGAGATAAAAAAAATAGTTTAATGGGTATTAAGTATATTTATGCATTGTCATAGTCTCAGAGGTCCTTTATTAATTTTTCATTAAGGCACCGCATTGTTTAACATCTTCATCAGTGACTTGGATGAGGGGGTAGAAAGCACGTTGTCCAAATTTGCTGATGACACTA